AGAAGTATTCCCCTCATGAGGAGGGAGCACCATCGCTAAAGGGACCTGCTCACTTCCCTCACTAAACTCGGAAGGTACGTTAGTCATGTTTTATCGGAAGAAAGGGAGTATCACACAATAAAGGATCGAAAATAATGAAAGCCCCTAGAACAGAGAGGGAAAGTGTTAGGTCACATAGAAGAAAGAAGGAGATATGGGGTTTCGAAGTAGAAAGTTTGAAACTTCAAAATTACACCGTAACATATCTATTTATAAGGACCTAGGCACTAGAACCGAAAATGGTTCATCATTATTGGTGTCGTAACCGAAGCGGCAGATTCGATCAAAGGACGCACGAGAAACGAAGCAACGCATCAGAAAAATGCATCATAATGATGCATGAGGTCATGACGTCATCTTAATTTGTGGACAACCAACTCCAACAAACCAATCGGGAAAATCGAGACGTTTTGAAATAAGTGGTCCACATAGGGCCACGTTGCCGATTCACCATGACTACCACGGCCTAAACTGCTCGCTTAATTATTTCTCCATAAAGAGAAAATCCTCTCATCGACCCTAGCTGGAGCCGGTCTCAATAAGCGGAGGAACTAACTGTATGGGTTAAAATCTGTCTCTAGAATATTTAAGTCAAGATAATATTAAGGGAAGAGTTCTCGAGTCGCCTTAGTCGAAATGACCTAAGAAGAAGCAAAATCCCTGGCCGAAGTGTAGATAAGAGCCATAGTCGAGATATCGACAAGAGTCGTAGTCGAGATGCCAACAAGGGTCGAGGTCGAGGTTAAATATCGTTGATAAGAGTTGTAATGGCTAGTTTGTCAGGATATGATATTAAAAGAGAATATTCTAGTGGATATTCTCTGCACTTGTACTATTAGGGTTTCTTAGGAACATGTCCCATATATATAGAAAAAAGAGATAATGATAGGGGCCTTGTAATATTCATTTGTAAGAACACACTTTGACAAAAAGATTCTCTCTGTCTTGCTAAGATACAAACATCACATTTTCACTAAGATTCTAGTCTATACTATGCCATACTTTTCCTTCTGATTCGAGAATAACTCGAATATTCAAGGATTTGTCTGTCACTCATCATTGCCAGAAGGAACATCCATCTATTTCGTCCTTTATTAGGTGAATCATTCCTCCTATTTACTTATATATCATTTATTGTTATTCATTGCTATTAAATGCTACATTATTGTTCATGCTTTTAGAACAGTTATTGCATGTTGTTATCATTATTTGACCGAACCCACCTAATGTTTATTGCACCCTTGAAAGCTACATCTAGAGATATTATTGTTAACTAAGTTCCCATAATTACATAAATTTAAATACTTTAACCAAGAGCCATATTTTTTATCAAACAATTATCACAAACCATAGTCCTAAACACACATAAGTTTGGCACAAAGTTATCATTTTTATAATGAACTACATAATACATTATTCTAAAACCATACCTTGATATATTAATATCAACTGCTAGTAACACAATTACTCGCTATTACAATTTGTCAAAAAACGAGATTCATCAGTCCAAAAAAATGATAATAACTAGTTGGTAGATTAGTTGGGTCATAATAGATGGACTTTTTTTATAAAATACAAAAGTTATAAGTAATTTTTAAAATGGTTAAAAAACCGAACGATAATATTATGAGCCAAAAACAGGTCTAGAGCTAGTTTTGGGATTGAAAATTTTGTTTTCAAAATCTGCCAAAATATGAATAAAGATATAAACAAAGATTTTGCCAAAAAATTGGAAAAAAAAAAACTTGCCAAAATTTATTTGCCAAACGAGGGCTTAATAGTCGATATGAATTTGGGTGTATTTTTCTTTAGATTTTTTAAAATATCATTTACATATCTAAAAACTACGTAAAAGTATTGAAAAGGAAAATATTGCTCAAGTTAAAACAAATTATGGAGCACCTTTACAGCAGCATATTTGATCAATGAAACAGAATTCAATATTTCATTTGAGATCATTATACCAAAACTAGTACATTAAGCAAAACACGTGCAGAATTTTATTATACCATCATCACTATCCCTCTTTACCAAAAAAAAAAAAAAACTCTGGACAAGGTATATCACGTTCACGCAGAGTCCTGTAAAGGGCCACATTCAAGGATTATAACGTAGACAACCTACCCTAATGCAAGTATTAGTGACTATTTTTACAGTTCGAACTCGTGACCTATATGTCACACATGGACAACTTTACCCAAGTGAAAGTAATTCTCTATACCAAAGCTAGTAGAAATTAGAAATTGTTGACAACTCCTGTCCCAAAGTTCTTGAGTGAGAGTAAGCTTGAGACATGAGTAGAAGCCCAAAAACGATCACTAAAATACTCATTTTTTGTCAAAGTTTTCTTCTCAGGATTATATGTAAACAAGACATCTTCCCCCAACTGAAACAAGATCTCTCCATCTCGAAAAACTTTCAATACGTGTACCATTGTGTGGCAAAACCAATTGCACTCTGGGGTTATGTCGATAACAATTTCTTTGGTCCAAGAACTTTTCACTCCATATTCCTTCATTACCCATATGTCGAGATAACTTTTCGTGTTATTGTCACATAAGCAAAGATAATTTCCCAACACTCCCAAACTCCTATAATCTGGGTAGTTTCTATCACGTGGTGTGGGTAAGTTTTGACGTTTCCTTTTGTTAAATCCAGGAGCCGTGGAAAAGGTCATATCTTTTTCCCGATTTAACTCTTCATCAGTATCCAAAGTCCACTCGTCCAACTCGTCGTGCATATCAATGAAACAAATTGACTCATTTTCTTCAACATCTTTAACCAACCAATGAAGCTTTCCACTGAAATATACCCCAGAATATCTACGTTCAAAACGTAGCTTGATATACCCTACACTACGCCAAAACCTTGTCCCAAGAGTGTACACTTGAACTTCAGACGTGTAATATTTTTCTTTATTTATATTATGAGTTTCCACTTGATAAATCCTTATCACCTTGTATTCCATTCTCATAGGATCAAACCCAAAGCCATAAGTGACTAAGTTTGGGCAATTTCTTAGCCCTTTAGGCTCAGGAAGTTCGATGTATTGTCGAGTAGTTGGATTGAAGATATAAACAATATCAAGAACATTATTATCAAGAGGCTTATAATATAAACAAACCAAACCATGTATTGAGCCAACTGGATTGAAATTAATATTTGGGAAGTTGGTTTTGATGTCAAGGTGAAAATTTGGTTCAAAAGTGAGCCGATGATAATTAGGTTTATTTTCCAAATTTACAAAGTTGAAGAGACTTGAACGAGAATGATTAATATTATAGATGATGAGGTTGGTATGGGATTTTGAGAGATGAAGTTTGATAAACTCAGGGTGTGAAATTAGGTTTAGCCAAGATTTGCAAACACTTTGGCAAATAAAGATTGTTTTTGGTGATAATCTTAAGAAAATATCTTCCAAGATTGAAGATGGTAAATTCGTCATGGTTTTTTGTGAAGGATTTGAGTATCCACAAAATAATTCACTCATAATCTAATAAATCTCGATACAAAAAAAAAAAAAAAAAAAAAAAAAAAAAAAAAAAAATAAAAATATAGTAGCATCAGTATTTATAATAATTCAAAACCTACTCGAGTCAAAATAACAAAACCTATTTCAATATGGATTCGGATTTAAACCAAACTATCCCACTCCTAATATAATATGGACTAGTCCAACCTGTGGTTCTATAGATGTAATCCTCACAAGAAAAATACTTATTTGGACCCAATTCGTCCACCAAACTAAGGGAAAAAATAAAAAATAGACAGATTTATAACTGGTAATTGAAAAATAGCTACAGTTTCAAAAGTAATCGAAATTTAGTCACTTTTCAGGTAAAGATAAAATCTGAATAAAAACGCCCTTAAAAATCCAGAAACATTTTAGCATAAATATGCTGGAGTTCGAATTTTTTACATATGAGCTTCCAGCATAATATGCTGGAATTTCATAATGCGCTGAAGTTCCAATATAATATGCGAAAAGTTTATATGCAGGAGCTCCATAATCCAGCATATTACGTTGCCACTTTCCGTGTGCTGGAGTTCCAACATAATATACTGTAAGTTTATACGCAGGAGCTCCATAATTCAGCATATTATGCCGGAACTTTCCGTGTTTCAACAAAATAATGACTTCACAAACGCGGACTATTTTCGATTACCAGTGTAAAAATTGGCTAGCTTGTACTATTTTTACGCATAACTTCTATCTAAGGTGGGTTAATAATTATTTTTACCTCATTTATCACTCAACCTTTACAAATAACATAATTTGGTGCATGGATCGAGTTCAAACTTTCCATCCTCACGTCGTTCTGGTTTATTCATGGAAAAGAAAAGAAGCACTTTAAAACGAACATGCATGGGCTACCTTTCTTTTTATTTCTTTCACATAGTTTAATTTCTTAATTTAGTTTATCGTAGAAAAGAATGCCTTAAATTTAATTATCACCAACTCAATGACATTGAAGGCCGATGGTGTCCCTTTTACAAAGATTGTAACAAGACGTTATTCTTAATTATAGTTCTTTTTTCCCAACATAATATGAAGTTAATGAATAAGTATCTTGTGTATTGTGTATTCGACAATGTTGATGAATCAAGAATTGCTCTAAAAAAAATAGGTTAAATTCCAGAAGAATTGCTTTTCTTACTCACTGAAAGATTAGAGAATGTTTCTCTACTTGCTGTCCTCTAGCTGCAGTCTTTGATAAAGCACCTCTTAACTGCAAATCCTTCGAAGTAACACCATTATTATCCAGCGCCGAGGTTCCTTGAGCCGAGGGTCTATGAAAATAGCATTTCTACCTCTATAAGGTAGGGGTAAAGTCTACGTACACTACCCTTCCCATGCTCCACTTATGGGATTACACTACGTTTGTTGTTGTTGTTGTTGTTATCAAACAGTTAATAAATCTTGCCTAATCAGAAAGATTGCCAATTCATGGACCTCAATCTAAATATCCAACTATGTCAACATTAGAAGTATAATGAAAGTCGTGAATGCTGAGACTTTATCTTGATCTGGGCATCAATCAATACAACAGGTGGTTACAGCTTGAGATCGGGACTAAGCAGCACAGGGTGGATTAATCTGGTATAATTCAAGCAGTACAAACAAGGAAATGCCTTTGTATACAAACAAATGAGACATAATATCTTCATGAGCAATTGGGCAGCAATAAAAACTCTGAACGAATACTTTCACTCATCTACTTGATCAGATGAAAGCGCTGGCTCTACAACAGGAGGTATACAATCCACCTTATACCGCAGGACCTGTTGCAAATCAAAGCAAAATAATCACCCAAGACGGTTATGTTTCTTTTACATAAAACTAGGCAAAGTATCAAAGCAATCAATTGATTGATGCCAGTGCAGATTAACATGCACTTAAAGGCGACCACAGTGCTGAGACCAACAGAAGCGTTACATAAACTACTTATTTTACTAGAGCGAGTTCTACCGGAACAGGAAAAGCCCATAGGCAACGGAAAGGAGCTGTTGTTTGATACACCAACAGGATAGGACTGAATAATTCCAAAGGGATCAGCATAACCTCAATGAATTGGGTTTCAATAATTAATGTATTACTCACCTTCTTGAAAAATGTAGAATAAGCATTATCCCATATGAGTTTGTAGTGTCCAGCCAGAACCGTACAAAAGTTTCCCTGGAAAAAATGACATTAAGGAGGTCCGGTAGCAAATCTACTAATTAGGATAGTAAAACAGCAAAATATACTCACTTGGTCAGCATCATATCGTCGATAAGGTAAGATTTGCTGCGAGTCGAGCATTTATTGACATTTCAAAAAGTTCAAAACCAGAACTTGAGTCAGAGAAGAGGAAAAGGAGAAGTTATCTTGTAAAAGAAAGAAGATTAATTAAGGCATGTGATGCTAGCCAGTAACCAAGAAATTCCAACAGATGCATTTTATGACAAAAGGGGAAAATAAAGTGAAGGAAATACACTTTCATACCGTCTTCTGTCCGGAAAGATCCGTAAACTCCATGCTAAAGCCAATGTCCTGTTACAAGAAAAGATGAAGCCCAGATAACTTGGTTAAATAAATCTGCTAGTGTCATGTCTGAGTTAACTGACAAACATATGTAACTATGCAAGAGATCTATCACACATTCTCCAAATATACATGATTGAAAAATCAGCATATTCTCTCAACTGGTGTCGCTTATGTGCAGCTTAAGTAGCTTTGGAACAAGGAAAACAGAAGTCTGATAACAAGACATAAAGGTAATGAAGAGGATAAGGAAATAGTTTCTTCATGCTTCAAGAGAGAGAAATTTGCTTCAGTAAAATTTCTCCTCCGTAAAATCTGTAAGCCAAAAGAGAGAAACTGTCTTCTTCATATTTGAAAGAAGTTTTATGCTTCTTTTAATGCAGTGGAAGTGAAAGATTTTAGGCCTATAACTTTGGTAGTCAGTGTATCATTACCAAACAGCTGTCAGAGAGGTTGAAAAAGTTATATGCAAGTTGATTTCTTAATCCAAATGGTTTTATAAAGAGGAGCAAATTACTCATTCAGTAGATGAAGACAAGGTGAAGCAGGTGTTATGTGAGCCTTATGGGAAGAAAGAATCAAAGAAAGCATATGATGTCGAAGATACAATAGTAAATAAAATACGCTTCTCTAACAGCTTAAGCTTTTAGATGAGCTGGTCAACACTTCAACATGGTATCGAAGCAGGCAGACGTCTTGGATTTGAGTCTCACAATCACCCATTATTAAAAAAAATCCAGGCTTGGCCCCATGAAAAAGAATCAGACATGTGAAGGAACATGTTGAAAACATAATTAAGTAAATAAAAGTATGCTCCCTCTACCAGCTTAAACTTTTAGATGAGATGGCCACACATTTTAACAACCATGTTAGCTGGAATTTCTCCTCCTTTAGCAAAGGAAACCACTGAAATATCTAAGACTCACATACAGAGTTGGGTAAGAAGGAAACCATAGAAAATCCTTTAGGAAGACTCCATAGACCGTAGAGACGTAGCCAAAAGAAGCAGGAGATAACTAAGCCGGGCATCAATTTCCAACAAATGACCACGAATCTAAAGAAGACAGTATATAGCATAAAAATCAACCAACACAGAAAAGGAAGCTGTTATAAAAGAAGTTTGATACCAAGAATACCGAAATAGGCACATCTATAGGAAGAAAAAAGGATATTACCATATCCACTCTGCCTTGAACCAAAGCAAAATCCCAAGCAATGTATGAATTTATGGCGTCCACCGTCAATGAAACCTAAGATAAGATTGACATAACAGATACATAAATCAACTGTACATAGTTTTATCAACACTCAAATGAAGCTCTACAATACAAACTTTCAGCTTCTAGGTCATTCAAAGACAAATAGATAAAATCTATGACTATCTAAGCAAAATCTAAAATGAACATGATTTGAAAATAAACTTTGTCCATTGTTGGATCAAAACACCAAATCCCTCGCAATTGGTGGATAACCACGCAATATATAATGCCTAGATCTTGTACTTGATTTATTAGAAGAGTAAAAACTAAGATTAAGGTTACAAGACTCTTGGATGGTCATAGGTAGCTGACTTGCCAAAAAAGAATTTCGATAAGGAGTTCTGAATTGAAGTTCAGAAGAAATACGATTATTTAAAATATGAATACAGTGTGAATCAATTCAACCCAAAATCTAGGAGCGAAGGCGGCTAGAAAGAGTGGAGAATGAATTATATTAACAAGAATGCAATGCAAACGTATCGATGCGGGTGGGACACAAAATGCAAATAGAAGTGCCACTTTTCATTAGAAAATTACAAAGTGCCAGACTTGAAAAATTCAGCAGTCCCATCACAAAAGAATCCAACATATTCACCAAGGAAGAAGAAAATCTATTCTTTTGTAACTATCATTGAAAGATTTAGTGATTGATAATAATCTAAAATTTTAAAATTAAGTCAATATCATTCTGAGACTTTTACACAAAAGATTTGGAGTTTTCATCGTGAACATTCAACCAAAAAGGGAACAGATCACAAATATCATCCATAAAGAACTATTGGGTGAGATACGACTACCTAACATTTTTATAGCTCATGAAATAAAAGTAATGTAATTACAAATACTATCTCACAGGCTTATTTAATCTCGTTATATAACTAAGAAAAAATATTTTTAGGAGTATGCAAGCAGTTAAAAAATTTATTATTTTTAATACAAATTCTGTGAAAATAGACATAGAATACACGTGCTACACATGTGACCAACAACTATTTATAAAGACACACACATTCACATACATAGACACAAAGAGAGAAAAAAACTACAAACAGACATGACCATCTTAGGAGCTAAAAAATGAGCAGCACCTATCTAAAAGGAAATATGACTTGGAGAAAGTAATCCTCCCAAGTAAAAACAAACCTCGTGAGTTTTTCCCGCTGGAACACTCACTTCTTTGTATTCGTCACTTTTTCTGCATTTGGGAACAAAAAGAAAGCTCTAGATCAAGTTCTGAAACTCATATCAAGTATTGTCTTATATTTTAGTCCACCAATGGCAAAATGTACATGGAACCACCATAGAAAGGAATTTTGGACATACCTGGCATCTAATGCACCAGCTTCTTCCGCAGTAATAAAGAAAGGGGAATTCGCAAATACATCACTGTAAAAGGTAAGTAAAGCCAGTGAAACAAGTACCAAATTATACACATACTCACTACACCCTCCGATTCAATGACAAAGTGTACCTCTTATGATGTGAGTCAGTATCTACATGTTTTGGCATAAAAGATTAAGATTTGGCTAGGAAACACAGAAAATCTATAACAGTCAGTATCGTTAAGGGTTAGATTGAGGCACACTTAAGCCTGATGCTACGTGAAGCCCAGGATGGGCACTTTGTGCTTGCCTATGCGGCGCTCTAATGCATACAATGACATCACCTAGGAGTTTGCATTCAAGAGGGCATTAATAAACAACAAATATAATTGAAACAATGATATATTAAGATGTTGTACACCACTACAGGTGGGGTCACCCCTGAGAATAGTTAAGGAATCAATGAAATTATTACTTAATTAGAAAAATTAATTGTTAAAATAATATTATGAATAAATATGTTAGTAACCAAAAATAGAAAATTAAAAATTGACTTCAAGAAAGCTTATCATTAAAATCTAAAATAAATACTTCAAATATTATCTGTCCATCTAAATAAGAAATGTAAAATGGTTTTTAGAATATATAAAAGGCAGCCCGGTGCACAAAGCATACCGCGTTTACACAAAGCATACCGCGTTTACGCAGGGTCTGTGAAGCATCCAACTCATTTGTTCAACAATCTCTTCGTGCTTACAGTAATTTCCCTTACATTTTGCATATATAAATGAACAGACCCGAAGAATATTGAAGTATCAAGCAGAAAACTTAAAATCATTATGGAAGGTTAGCGTGAATTGAAGCAAATCACAGAGAGAAGAGAGCAGCCGTAGTAACTTCACCCAAGCCTATTTAAAGCAGTAACTTCACCCAAGCCTATTTAAAGCAACAGCATAATAGGAGTGACCTTTCTCCAAAAATTTCTTTCTCCCTCCCCGATTTTTCTCCGCTTAACGAGAAAGCAAGACCCGGGAGGCTCGCAGCTACCACAGCCACAAGCACTCCGCTCATTCGTAAGCCACTTTAGAGATGGGGGCGAGCCGGGAGCTTACTTCGAGTATTTATGACTCTAGTGGCAACATGTGACAAGCGAATGACATGATTCTCGAGGAGTTATATGACGGCCATGTGATGATGCATCAAATAGATGCAGTCTTCATTTGTAGGACGTTGATGGTTCATGTCATTCATGCAAGCTTGGGTCTTTCATTCGGTCCCTGTTGGGGCACCCTGTGGGCCAGTGTTTGCCCCAGCCCCCAGCAAAGGCCCTCAATAGTTTGTGGGTAGTAGAGCTACTTCACAACCATGTTTTAAAGCAGTAACAACAATTATACCTTCAGTCTCAAACCAGTTGGGATCAACTATATAAATCTTCTATATCTATTCCACTATTTTTTTTTGATAAGGTAATGTAAATCTATGTTGCACGGATTCTCCAAAACAGTTGTAGCACCCGTGTCGGATGGCTCGGATCCTCCAACAATGCACTACTTTTGGAGGATCCGACACGTATCCATCGACATTTCCTGAGAGTCCGAGCAACATAGATGTAAATTTCATTAATTCACTATATTTGGAGTCTGGAGATGATCCATTCCATTACTCAAGAGTACATCTTTTAAAGCAATTAGGGGTTCTGTAATCATACTTATCTTACACTTACATATAAATTTCTACTAACTTAAAGACCCCGGCATAGACTTAAGGGCCATTTGTAAGGTAGTATAATACCTGACTAAATTCAGCATTATAACACCTTGTTTGGTATCTTTTTTATTGTCTTTACCAATAATACAAGCATAAGTTATGCGGACTACTTATTATTTTATGTGAGAGAACTGGAAAACGAATGGGGGTATTAGTAATTCAAAGATTAAAACATTAAAATGACAACACTAACCCTCATAAAAGTATACATTGTACACTAACTTGTAATACCTCAAACCAAACATCTAACAAGAAATATCTCTGCATTACAATCCCTACATTACTAATCCATGCATAACTTGTATCTAAACCAAACGACCCTTAATGTAAGTGTACCAACACGAATAGGATTTGATCCAACAAATTGTATCGTTTGTGAAGATCTTTTTTTTTTAATTGATTTTTGTTCTTTACCAAGTTTGCATTGATTCCAAACGACTACAACCCTTCTGAGACAACTTCTCCATGTGATTTTAGGTACCTCATCTCCTTTTAACATATGGAGGCAGTGCATTTGGAGGTCTGCGTAGGACATGCCTAACAATCATAGGCGACTCTCTCCGACTTTATCCTACGCGTGCTACTTATACTTTGTGAAAACAGTGGTTATTTCTTATATTGTCTAATTTGTATGACGACCGCACATCCATCTTAACATCTGCATTTTTATCACACTAATCATTTGGTAGCACTCACTGCCCATATAGCATTCAACTTCCTCGCATGCAATTTTTTGCTGAAAACTCCTTGTTGTTTTGATAGTAGCATTCAGGAAAAAAGGAATCTCCTTTTTATGATGATCTAGCTAATGTCTCTTAGCTTTCCTATGCTCCGTCATCTTGGGAATGGTAAGCCAAGGGAGGTTTCACAGTGCTGAAATATGTTGCTTAGCAAGAGAAAGTATGGTTATACTAGCTCTAAATTATACATGTAGGAATATATACACAGAGACATTCCTTTAGATGCCATCTACCCTTTATCATCCCCTAGTTCTCATTACAAAAAAGTTGAAAGGAATTCAAAATTTTAACCTTCGAATTTGATAGGAGTCTAGATAGCTCATCTTTGCCTCGAGGCCAATAGCTAGAAGAAACAATGAAAAGAAGGCATGAAGGAGAAAGAGGGAGAAAATGAGTCTTTCCTTTGTTTGGTTCGAAAAGTCAAGAGCGAAAGGGAAATGTTTCTCTCCAAACTAAAATTGTCAAACACAAAGGTAAAATAGCTTTCCCCCTTAAATTTTTTTCCTCCACTTTTAAGCAAACCAAAGAAATAGGACAAACTGTAAGCATTCCCTTAGTTTCTCTTCTGTCCTTAGCTTCCACACATTGTATAAGTTGCTTACAATGATGTGAATGTCATCTAAGAAGCTACTTGAATGTTTTCTCTAAGTAATCATGAGATAAAGACATTATAGAGCAATACTTAGACGGAAAGGATATTAGGCTAATCTATACTGAAAGTGATAACATGATTAGGTACAAGCTAAAGATAAAAAGTATGGTTCTGGAAGCATTAAATACCCAATGAATTTGATGAATCTTTGGAACTCAGATGTGTATACATCTACTGCTTCTTCCAAGACCGTCATTTGATCCTTTGATCTGCCCAAAAGGAAACACTACAAGGTTCAGGTGAAAAATGCTGATCTGTGAAGCAAGGATGCAAACTTTCTGAAAGAAATAATCAAATGCATCTTGATTCAATCATTTGAAAGTACAACATATAGACAAGTCTTACAGTTTTCTAGCTTCAAAACGTCGCCATAGTAGAGAAAGAAAAAGTCGAATGTTGAGCACCATTTTCGTGAGACTGTACAAAGGTGGACCATAACGTTGTCGCTGCTCTTCCATTGGCCTAGAGGTAGACAATTATCAAAAAGCAGTAGCCAGCATTAATATAGTCCATTCAACTCTTGAAGAATGAGCAAAGTTATAAAGAACATAATTTTAAAAAAAAAAGAATAAATAAGCTAAATGCAGAGAAAATAGATACCCATCATCATCATTTATTTTCCGAACAAAATCCAACAGAACCTGCAAGATAACGTGCAGGTGAATAATTTTACTGAAGACCAGAGAATCAACATACTATCACTGGCATGAATATATTTTGAATTGAAACTATTTAAATTTAACATTAGGGCTTCCAAATGGCCACTTGGCATCCATGAGGTTAAGTATTACTTGGTTAATGCATGAAAACAACAGGGCTTGATTAGAGAAACATTGACAAGAACATGGTAGGGAAAGGTTATAAATCCATTATGTTCTACTAAATGAATTGCAACATACTTGTGGCACTCCAACTAAATACTTCACCAGTGTCTTATAGACACCTGTAGCAGAACCCAGTTGAGCCAGTTGCCGCCTCCTGTTTGGTAGCATCTCAGCATAAGTCAAAATCAAATCATATACTGGTTGCACCATCACGAAGATATGATAAAATATTATTTACCGTTCCATTTGTTGATTCCATAGTAGAGAATATCGATCACGAATACTTCCACCGGAGTTGATTAGAGCATCAACTTCAGCCTGCTTATTCCTCTCAGAACGCTCCCTCTGCTGCCTAATAAGAGTACCGCGGAAGTCTTGTGGCATGTACGTCATCACTACAGAAGTAATAAGAGCATCCAGATGATAAGCGAAGTCAAATAATTATATTGTATTTTGGAACGTGTAGACAAGAGGGGTTGCTCTGATGGTAAGCAACCTCCACTTCCAACCAAGAGGTTGTGAGTTCGAGTCACCCCAAGAGCAAGGTGGGAAGTTCTTGGAGGGAAGGATGCCGGGGGTCTATTTTGAAACAGCCTCTCTACCCCAGGGTAGGGGTAAGGTATGCGTACACACTACCCTCCCCAGACCCCACTAAGTGGGATTATACTGGTTGTTGTTGCTATTTTGGAACGTGTAAGACAATAGCAAGTTGCTGAGATGTACTGCACATCTCTTCAACTTGGTGCTTGCCTTTGTAGTAGAATCTGGTAACCACATACTGTAATAGTTGATAATAAGCGCAGGGGCACTTAACTTTGGGTAATACTTTTCTTTTTCAGTAAATGTAAAAAATTCTTAATATGAAGGGAAAATACTCCATACACAAGAAACATAGAAAGTAGAAATCACATACAAAAACATATTTGTACAAAGAGCAACCAGTCATTTTATTTTTGAAAAAAAAGGAGCAACCAGCCATCATATATGACTGAGATACTACATTTATTCCAAAAATGTACCACAATAGAAGTTCCAATTACTCAGGCAAACATTCTTTCAATTCCAAACACCCCCTCTATTTCTTTCCTTCTATATTGGATAGTATACTATGACAATGTTTGAAGCCTGAAAACATAGATCCAACACCAAGAAATAACCTTCAAAGGTCTAAGTGTGCTCCAATATGAAGCGCTGACTATTTGATGGAACGAAAGTAGTTTCATTTCAAATAAAGGAATATATCTCTAATGGTGAATTGGATGAGAAACTGAATATGAAGGACTACGACAAGATGGGATGGCAGAGATAACTGCAATTATGAGTTTTAAGAAGAAAATTCAATTGTTTTGTGCTTCAAGCTACTGTGCAAAGCCAGCCCGATGTTTACGTCTTTTCTTGTTTCTTTTAGTGTTCGACGCCACTCCTCTCTCCAACCAGAGGCGGATCCAGGATTTTTAGTTTATGGGTTCCTACATCGATTTTAAATTAATATATTATAATAACCAGACTA